GGAGGGTTTTTTTCCCTAGGGACCCCAAACTCTTTACTGTGCTTTCGGGAGCCAGTTGCAGCCTCGCACTTATTCTCAGGTCTTAAAATGTGCGGCAGGAAGAAATACCTTCGGTTAGTCCCTTGGCTGTTGGAAGCGTTTGTGAAGCTTCTTTCAGTCCACAGCACAGTGTTCTGGCGCCTGCTCTGCCCCAGCCCTGGCCTGGGCCCCGAGGACAGTGATGAATCAGGCCTACGTCCTGAACCCCCTGCCCGGTGGTGGTCACACTGGTTGTGCCCTCTACCTTGCCAGGCCGTGCGCTTTTCTGCACGAAGCACAGTCTGGGCCATGATGGGCTGTGGTTGCTGCTAAACAAGCCTGTGGCCTGGACACACCCAGGGCCTTCCATCCTGTGCTCGGGTCCTCCTTCCCACTAGGGCCTTTGCTATGGAAGCTCGGTACACTGGTACTTTTCCAATCAGGCAGGGGCTCTCCAGGCGCTGGGAGGGGTAGTCAAGTGCTTTAACTGTCTTTCTGGTATGGATCCATTCAGGGCTGCCCCTTCCATCAAGGGTGCTGTAGCTTCCTGCAAATTCCCAGCCTTGCCATTTCTACTCCACCACCTCCTCCAGGTGCCCCCGCCCCCGCACTCACTTGTCAGCCAGGTTGCCTGACCCCTGCTCACACCTGTGTCTCTGTCTGCAAAGGGGGCTGCGAATGGGGTGCTGCCTGAGGAAGGGCAGTCCGAGGCCATGGCAGCACAGAGCCAGATGCAGATGAACTGTGGAAAAGTATTTGTTGAATTAGTATTTTACCTTTCACTAAAAGCTGAAACCAAAAAAATACATCACAGCAGCTGAAAGCCTTGAATGAGTCAGAGGCTCAAGGCTTGTTTGCCTTCTCCATTGGTGCAAAATGCCTATCAGGCAAGAAACTTCTTAGGGAGGTGGCAGGATTCTCGGGCCCTTCTGTCAGAGCTGGAGCCCTCGGAGATGACCTCACTAGACAGAGGAGCGACAGGGCAGGAGGGGCCCCAGCAGGTGAGAAGCTGACTCCTACCAGAAGGCTCAGAGGCCTCAGTGTGGATCAAACAGATCCAAGAATGTCTTGGGAAGGCCACAGCATAGGAACTGCTGGAGACAGCAGACTGAGCATGCCCCAGAATTTGCTGAGAGGAAAAGAGCAAAGTAAGGGGCGTCCTGCCTGCTGAGACAGCAGACCTGAAGACCACTCCTCTAGCAACCGCGGCTGTCCCCTGGCTCTCTGAGTAGATGGGGCGATGTAAACATTTAGGCCTCATGAGCTGCTGTCACCTCACTCTGGGGTGGACTTGACAGATGCAGTCCTGTGATTGATACCATGTGCTTGACGGCAGTTGGAGAAGTGTCCCGGACCTGGCCAAACAGGAATTTTAGAGAGTCTTAGTCCACAAGCAGAAGGGAAGGGAAAGGGATAGAGGGAGGAGGGGAGAGGGTCATCTCCCATGGCCTCCCCTCATTTATACTCCCTCTTCAGAGAACCACCCCATGCCGGCATGCAGGCGAGGCAGGTGGAGATATATAAGGGCCAGTGGATTCCTAAGAGTCTGAGATGCTCCGGGTCCACCTGGATGCTGTTGACCCAGAGAGGAAGGGATGAGTGGAGAGAGAATGGAAGGAGGAGGGCGGGGAGGGAGCCGAGGTGGGGTGGGGGCGGGGGTGAATGAAAACCCAGTCTGTTGGTTTCTTCTTTTTTTCAAGAGCCACAAGCTGAGATCAAAGGTGATATTTTTACAGCAACTGAAATAGAAAACCACTGGACACACAGTGGGAGGTGAGTGGCCCGGACACAGGCCCCTTTATGAAGCCTGCGGCCTCAGCGAGCATGCCGGCCTCTGCCATGGGTGTGGGGGACAGTGTGTGGTGATCTTCCCAACCAAGGTTCAAGGAAGAAACAAACGGATGGACGTGAGCAACAGCCCTCTGCGCTGGGGGAGGAGAGGGACAGCAGTAAAGGAGCACAGGGAGTGCTCGGTGCCTGACATTGTTCCCCTAGACCACCCTGCCGCCGCCATGCAGTGTCTGAGTTGTTCCAGGACTTCTCGGTACACCCTGTTTCATCTGTACAGAGCCCAGTGAGGGAGGATTATTGTCACTCTTCTTTTACTGAGAGTGTGTTAAACTAAATCCTATGGGGACTTTGGAGCCAGTTCAGAACTAGAAGCCTGGGGCTGCTGGTCCAAGATTCTTTCTGCTCTTTGTAATCCCACCCACCTACTCACACTCCAGATCACTGCTGCCATTGGTACTGTTCCCAGCTGGCCCTGGCATGACAGGACCCACAGTCAGGTTCACTAGAGCAGTGGGACTCAAAATGTGGCCCCCAGGGGGCTGGGGATTTAGCTCAGCGGCAAAGCGCCTGCCTGGCAAGCGCAAGGTCATGAGTTCGGTTCCCAGTACCGGAGGAAAACCAAAAAAACCAAAAAAAAAAAAAAAAAAAAAAAAAAAAAAAAAAAAAAAAAAAGTGGCCCCCCAGACCAGCAGCGTCAGCATTATCCAGGGACACGCTAAAAACGCAGATTCTCAGGTCCCAACCCAGACTTACTGAACCAGAAACTCTAGAAGTGGGGCCCAGAGCTTAAGTCTTAGACAAACTCTCCAGGTGATTCAGACGCACCAAAGGTGAGGATCACTGCACTGTGTTACCTCAGTTTCCACACCTGTACTCTGCAGACAAGAACACTTCTCTCACAAGGTTGAGCCCGCTGTCGTCTAACACTCATGGTGTGTGACCTGTGCCAGGGATCCTTCTTGCCCTCTACAGATATTAACTCATGTAATTTCACAGTCCTGTGAGATAGGACCTAAGTCTCCTCACCTCACAGATAAGGAAGTGCAGGCACAGAGAGGTAAAGGAACACAACCAGGGTCACACAGCTAGAAAATAACTGGGTTCTAGAATCCCAGTTCTTCATAACTAACCAATAAAAAGTCCCTAACAGGGGGTCTGGCTCCCAGAAGGTGTTCTAAGTATGGCTAAGAATGTGAGGATGGCGATCGGTATTACCTCACCTGAACTTGAGATGATGACCCCCATTCCGTAAATGTGAAATCTGCTGCCTTGTCAAGATTGAGGTGTGAGTCAGCTGCAGCCACAGCCGCAGCCGCAGTGTCTGAAACCCCAGCACAGCACAGGCCTCTCCCTTCACCAAGCCAGGAGACCACAGCGTACCATTCTGGGCTGCTGGAATGACCCAGCTTGTTGCAGGGTAGAATGTGGGCTCTCGCAGAGAGGGAGCTGGAGCGCCACTTTGAGCGCTCAGGTTCTGCATGACCTCGCTGAACCTCACATTCCTCCTCTGTAAATTGACCAATGACAGTCCTAACTCGGAAGGTTTCCGTGAGGTTGGAGACAATGACATTTGTCCCAACCCAGAGTGTGCACAGAGCTGGCTACCATCAAGCAACTTGTCCCTCTCTCCCCCTTGTTGCTGCTAGCTCAGTGGAAACAGCAGCTCAGGACCTAGAAAAGTTTTGAAAGGAGAAGTAAGTTCCCAAGAACCCAAATGCATTTGTCCTCCAGCCTCCCTGCCCCGTTCCACATCTCTCCTGCCCAAGATGTTTCTGTTAAATACTGGCAACAGTTCACCCCAGCCAGGAGTGTGCAGTTACCTGCAAAGGGGAGAGGAGCCTTCCTCGCCCCAGCCTCACCAGCTAGGCCGGCCACCACACTCAGTGGGCACATCTGAGTCCTGCCGCCACCAGGCTGAGTTTTGCCTGGACATATGAAGCTCGTTAGCTGCGTGCTCCGGAGGAGGTGACCTTGCTTGGGAAGAATTACCCCAGACAGAGTTGCAGAGGACGTGGCAAACGAAGACCAGGTGAGGGGTGGCCACGAGGGGCAGAGGAAGCAGAGTTTCCAGAGTGGCCTCAGGGGAACCCCTGAGAGCAGAGGAGGCTGGGAGAAAGCCCAGGCCTGGCTGGGCTCCAGCTCAGCTTTGACTCACCGTTCCGAATGGGGGCGTTCCCCCTCAGACTCAGTTCCCCTACTGTGTGCATCATTGCAGGGGGGGCAGGCACTGAGGCACCCACTGCCTCCCAGCTCGAAGGTTTGGGGTCCCTACCTAACCTACAATTCTAGGCTTTAAATTATAGCTCAGTGCTGAGGGAAGCGAAGAACGGAGGTGGGTGGGGGAATAAGTTAGAGGTGGGGTGCTATGATCCCCGCACAGGCTGGATTGGAAAAGGAAAGACCAGAAAGTGACACCACAACCCAGAACAGTCTGGGTGCTCTGTCCGCAATAAGTGGCAAGATGGTCGTGCTGGTTGGAGGCTACAGGGGTGGGGGTGGGGCCTGAGCCCTCCAAAGTGGAGTATCCGGCTGGCAGGTGGGCCAGAACTGAGGGGCTCCTCCCTTTCAGGACTTACTGCTTCATGTTGCCCTGCAGCTAGGCCATAGCTTTCTCTGAGCACTTTTTATTGCTCATTTATTTTATGCTAGGCTAGGTTGTAAATATTTCATGCATATTAAAATCATTTAATCCTTTCACTGGATGGTAGCCTGGAGTCTGGCCCTCACCTGTCAGGTCCTGACATAGACCTTTCTCTAGGCACCTAACGATCAGACAGGTTGACCCTAACCCTGTCACTCAGGATGGTGCCTTTTCCCATTGCAGTTATAATTCACACCAGGCAATCTCCCTTTCCACTGACAGGAATGACCTGTCCCATTCCTGGGCTCCCTCCCTCCTGGGAGCCAGGTCCCTAGGAAGCTGTTGCTAGTAGGCCTGGAATCTGAGTACCTGTAGACCTTGCTGAAGCCTGATGAGCCATCTCCAGTCTCCCAGGGAGGCCCCCTATGGGGGCTGGGATGGGCACATCTCTCGGACAATATCCCTGACCTTCCGGACGGCGCTGGATGTGCACTCAGCCAAAGTGGGCTTCTCAGAACCTTGGCTTTTCTCTAGACGCCTCACTCCTTGGTTATTGCATTCTTTCTTTAGACAGGTCCCCCATGGATAGGCTGCAGACCTGCTCCTGAGCCAGGAGCCTTTGATTCATTTCCCTCTCACAGCATTTCTAAGAACAGCCCAGAGAAGGGTGGGGGCCTGCCCAAGCTCACACAGCTAGGCCTGGCCAAGACAACCCTGGATTCTAGACCATTGCCAATTAAACAGTTTATCCCTTTCAAATGCAAAGACCTAGTTATATAACTAGAAAAATCAGAAAATACAAGCAAAAGTAAACATAAATATACCTTGGGTTGGTTTTTCAAAGAAACTTCCATTGCCTTCTCATCCCTTCTCACGCCCCCTCACCCCCCAGCAAATCTAAACCACTCCCGGTCACTGACTCCGGCGATAATCAATATCTCACTTGCTTTTGCCAACAGCTGTTCCCTGAGGAATAGGCCTTGACAGCAAAGCCTGGAAGACGGCCTCAGACCGGATCCTGGAAAGGCCTAGCATCTCTTCCGGAACAGCAGGGCTTCCTCTGGAATGGAAATATTTAAGTGCAGGATATGGTAAGAAATATTCCTGGCCCCTAGGAGTCTAGAGATTGCCTTCATCCCAGCCTGGTCTGTGGATTGGCTCTATGACCTCGGGCCAGTCCCTGCCCCTTTCTGAGCCTTGGTTTTGTCAGTTGTAAAGTGAAGATTTGATCTTGATCAAGTAGTTTCCCCACAGCCCATCTGAGGCTGTCAGCTTCTCTTGGCAGGAGCCGTGTCTCCTTTGATAGAATTTACAAAGTACAGGGCTTGAGCCCAAGACCATTGCCCTCTAGCTGTGTGACTGATGGGGTACCACAGCACTCTGACTTCCTCCTTGGAAAGAACAGCTCAGAGTTGTCCCCCTGTGTGTGCTCAGATCTGTCTTCTATCCCCTGAGACCTTCGGACTATAGAGTGAGGTGCTCCACCAGCTTGTGTGCTGGAGTGTGCCCCTGCCTGCCCAGCGCCTGGCTCCATCCTGGCTCCGTGGCCCGGGCCCAGGCTTGTCAACAGAGCCACTGGCTGCCCACAGTGCTCGCTAGGCTCTGCAAGGAGAGTGTGTGGACTCCAGGCCCAGCCCACCGTACAGAGTGTCAGCAACATTGCTCAGCGGGCCTCGGGCCCCATGACCTCACGAGCAGCAGTTTCCATGTCGGAGCTCACAGCTGAGGCCAGTTTCAAAAACAAGCACTACCTTTTTTTCTTTCTTTCTTTTTTCCATTTTGGCTAAGGCATGGAATGTGAGAGCTACTGAATTACTCCAGGAAGTAGGAAAGGCTAGTTCCAAAACTGACTGATTTCTGGGATCCCCAAAACAATAGCAAACACTGGGAACCTGGCCCCTGCTCCCTCAAGGTCATCCTGATCCTAGTCCAAAATCCCCTGAGAGGATCAAGGCGAAGGGCAGAACTCACTTCAAATGCCCAGATGAGCACTCTGGACCTCTCCTTGCCATTTATAGGACAGGAGTAATACCCCTT